TTAAACAGGAATTGAATCGTTTTCTCCTCTGTGATTTTCGCCAATGGTTCTGCTTCGACCCACTTGCTAAAATAGTCGACAGCAACCACTAAGAACTTCCTTTGTCCTGTTTCCAATGGCAATGGGCCTACCAAGTCGATTCCCCATTGCGCGAAGGGGACTGGTGTGTTGATGATCATGTATTCGGTGGGGATATGAGTGATTTGCCCATGACGTTGACATTTCTCACACTTCTGGACCAGCTGTTCCGCCATTGCTCGCGTTTGGGCCAGTAATACCTTGCTCGCAGGGCTTTGCCTACCAAAGCTCGTGATCCTATATGTGCTCCACAACATCCTTCATGTATTTCTTTCAAGACATGAGTTCCTTCGTCTTCAGAAACGCATCGCAAGTGGGGCCCAACCAAAGACTTTTTGAACATGACGCCATCGACTTTGAAATATTTGTTTAGGTATCGAGCAACCCTTTCTGCCTCCTGCTTATCTCCCATAGGTACTCAACCCTGTAGGGGTTCGTGAATCGACTTCCTCCAATCGTCCTTTTCCTCGACTTCTATTGTCTCGCCCAACACACTTCCTTCCAAATGCATGGTGGTGATAGAACTCCCATCTTTCCATCATTCGAGCTTGCAATTCTTGTGAGCCAATATGCTTTCTTGTTTTCTTCTCGAGGCATTTGTGTTAGCTCAAACTTCTCTAAGCCTTGAACAAGGCTTTGGATTTCCTCGATATATTTCATCATTCGATCTTCCTTAATCTCGCAACTTCCCATTACTTATCCAACAACCAGTTGTGAGTTAGAATGTACCATAATATATGTTTCTCCGCCACCGATTGCAAGTGGGATTTCTTTGATTAGTGCCTGGTATTCTGCTTCGTTATTTGAGGCCTTAAATCCCATTCTAATGGCAAAGTTAAGCTATTCGCCCTAGGGTGACACGAGGACGACTCCAAGACCAGACCTTTTAGCCGCCGAGGACCCGTCGACGTGCATGACCCATTTCTTTTCTTCTCCCTTGGTGCCTTCTTGGATAAAATTTGCTAAGGCTTGGGCCTTTATGGCTCGTATTGGCTCGTACTTGATGGAGTATTCGCTCAACTCGACCGCCCACTTTACGAGCTGACCTGATACCGTAGGTCGACCCTGTGTTTCTCCCAGCTAGAAATTTGTCCTCCACTACCACATGATTCAGAAAATATGGCCTTAATTTTCTAGTCGTTATCACCAGTGTCAAGGCAGCATTCTCGACCTCAGATTATCTTGTCTCCGCACCCTGGAGAACTCGAATGGTGTAGTAAATTGGTTGTTGGACACCTCCTTCTTCTTGCAATAACACTGAACATAACGACACTGAACCCACAGATATATATAGCACCAACTCGTCACCGGGCTCAGGTTTTGTCAACAAAGGTAGCTCGCCCAAAAACTCTTTCAATTTCTCGAAGGCCATTTGTGCCTCATCACTCCACAAGAAGGTCAACTTATTTTTGAGCAATTTGAAGAATGGAAAGCTTTTCTCTGTGGCTCGAGCAATGAACCTGTTGAATCCCGCAATCCTTCCCATCAAGACTTGCACCTCTCTTATGTTTCTTGGTGGGGCCATGTCGAGTATGGCTTTCACCTTTTCCCTGTTTGCTTCAATTCCTCGCTCTGTGACGATATATCCCAAAAATCGACCTGCCTTTACTCCAAAGGCACACTTGCTTGGGTTCAACTTCATCCCAAACGCTCTAAGGGTTTTAAATGTTTCCCTTAAGTCATCTGGGTGTAAAGTTGAGGACTTACTCTTCACCAAGATATCGTCCACATATACTTCAATATTTCGTCCGATCTGAGATTTGAACATACGATCCATCAATCGTTGGTAGGTTGCTCCTGCATTCTTAAGTCCAAAGAACATGACGACATAGCAATACGTCCCCTTGCTCGTCACAAAACTCACCTTACTTTGATCCTCAGGGGCCAACGGAATCTGATGATATCCCTGAGATGCATCCATCATACTTAGCAATTCGCAACCAGCCGTGTAGTCGACTAGCTGATCAATTCGTGGTAAGGGATAATGATCTTTGGGGCACGCCAAGTTCAAGTCGCGAATATCGATGCACATGCGCCATTTGTTTAGTGCGTTTCTTACCATCACCGTGTTGGATATCCACTCGGGGAATTGGATTTTTTTGACATGTCCCGCTCGCATCAGCTTATCCACCTCGAACTCAATGGCTTTGTCGATTTCTCCACCATGGTGTCTAAGTCATTGTTTTACTGGCTCTCTGAGGGGGTCGATGTTGAGTTTATGCTCCATAATGGTGGGGTCGATCCCCGTCTACTCCTCAGGGGTAAAAGCGAAAATATCCATGAACTCCTTCAGCAATGCGATAAGTTGGTCTCGCAGCTCGTCCTCCAGATCCTTCCCGACCTTAGTGGTTTGTTCCTTCATTTCTCCAATCTGTATTTCTATTAACTCCCCGTGTGGTCCAAGGTGTCTCCTTGGCCTCTTCTACTTCGAGATTGGTTTTTTCTTTTCCTTAACTTCGGCCCACTGGTTGGTTTTCACAGCAATTTGATAACAAGTCCTCGACAGTTTTTGATCACCTCGACCTTCTCCAACCCGATCTCCGACTGGGAACTTCAGCTTCATGTGGTAAGTCGACATCACGGCCTGGAATGCATTAAGTGCTGGTCTCTCTAGGATCACGTTGTAGGCCGACTCGACATCGATTACCACGAATCTTACCATTTTTACCTTTCGTAAGTCTCCTTTCCCTAGGACGACAGCGAGCATAGCCTCTCCTAGGGGCGAGACCTCTGAACCAGTAAAACCAAACAGCAAGGTATGGAGGGGTGTGAGTTGTATGTCGAGCTCCACTCTCTTGAAACAATCATAGAAGATCACATTCACTGAACTCCCGGTGTCAAAAAACACTCTCTGCACTTCATATCTTGATACTTGGGCGGTTATCATTAATGCATCATTGTGAGGTCTCTCGACCTTTCTCACATCTGCTGGCCTAAAGTTTATTATTGGACCATTCTCGTCGACTTGTTGTATCTCGACTTTCCCATGGCGCCCTCAAGCATACGCCTTCCTTGCTCGATTCAAGTCCCCATCAGTCGATCCACCAAATATCATGTGTATGACTCCCCTTTTCTGAGGAAGTTCCTCCTTCTCAGGCGTTCTCGCCCTCTTGCGAGGGCTCCTACTCCTTTCTCTCCTCCTACTCGACTTCTCCCGATCCTTATATATGAATTCTTTCAAATGACCCACTTTTATCAGCCTCTCGATCTCGTCTTTGAGGTGTCTGCAATCGTCGGTATTGTGCCCATAATCCTTATAGAATCGGCAGTACAGATTGCTTTTAGGCTTCGTTGGTCCATCATTTCTCGTCTTGGGCCATCTCACCACAGTGCCGTAAATCTCCCTTTCCATGACTTCCAGAATCCTGGCTTGGGGAACCGCTAGAGGAGTGTAATGGGTTCGCCTCCAACCCCTAGATCGCCCTTCTCTTTCTGCTCGTAGGGACCACTTTCTTTCCCCAGTCGAGGAACTCTTCTTCTCCCTCCTCTCATCCCGAATGTCAGCTTTACTCATTTTAACCGTTTGCAAGAAGTCGGCTTCTGCTTCCTCGACATTCATGTACTTTGCACATCTTCCCAGTACTTCATCGAACGTTCTACCCGGTCGCTTTGCCAAAGAATTCCTGCATAAGCCCGGTAGAAACCCTCGAGTCAATCATCCCGCCTTTATCTCCTACGACGCCCTGGGCACCTCGACGCACGCCCACGTGTATCTCGCCACATAGTCCCGCAGTGACTCGCCTTCTTTTTGTTGCATGCCCATCAAGGTTAGATACGACTTCTCTTTCGGTTTGACACTTGCAAATTGATTGAGAAAGCTCGAACTGAATCCATCAAAGTCCTTGATGGCTCTCGATGGTAATTGATGATACCAATCTTGTGTAGATCCCCGCAAGGTCGTTAGGAAAGCTCGACATTTCACTGGGTCATCATAACGATGCAGAACCGCCATATTCTCAAATCTCCTCATAAGACGAGATGGATCAGTCGACCCGTCATAACTTATGTTTAGATCACGAAAGCCCTATGGCAAGTCGGCGTCCAGAATGTGTTGCGAGAACGGGTGTCCCCTTGAGCCTCCAGTTTTTCGTCCCTCGACTCGAGCCTACAGATCGCGAACTTGGGCCAACAATTGTTCCAATGTCTCATCTCTCGCTTGCGGGTTAACGGTCCTGACAGAAGATTCTTCCTCTTCCGCCCTCCCTATTTGTCTCTCATTTGATTGGGCCTGTTGCTCGCTATCATGGGGTGGTAGCACAATCCTAGGTTGCTCGACCCTAGGTTGCTCGACCCTAGGTTGCTCGACCCTGGGTTGCTCGACCTGTACCTGCTTGATTTGAGCTGCCACCGCTTCCGCAATCATCCTTTGCATCTCGCTCCTCGTCATGGTCATTGTTTGCTCCTCAACCTGGGATGGTGGTCTCGCCCCTTGCTCCAACATCCCAGGTTGCTTTCCCAAGCTCAAAGTCGTTTCGGCCGATTTATTCCTGTCCACTCCCGTGTCTGCGGCCTTCGTCTGGCTAGATCCTCCTTGTGTTAGCCCTGGGATCTTTACCCCAGGTTGTGTGATGGGTGTTTCTTCCTCCGTATGCACTCCCGATGGCGCGTGTCCTCCAAACGGTGGGAAACCGAGCACTTGGAGTGGTGGTCTAGGGCCAGGAATCAACGGTGGCCATTTATCCGTCCATGCTGCCCTGAAGTCCTCGTTTAGATTTCTCGAAAATCCCTCCTTCTCCGCCATGTCAAGCATATCGGAACTAGGTGCAAAGCTCTTATTTCCTTCAAGAACTCCCAACAGACAGTGCCAACTTGATGGGTCTCCTCCTAGATCTGAGGTGAATCGGTGGAAATAAGCTCCGATCTACTTGAATTACCCTCAACTTGTCTTCGAACCGTTGCAAACACCTGCAAGAACTCAACACCGGACGTGTTTCCGGTGAAGGGCATCCGACGCTCAAGTCAGTGAAAGGGAAGAAGATGAGCTCTTCTCAGTAGGAGCAGCAGCTTAAGAATGAATAGAGAATGGAAGTTAGGGTTTAGAGTTACCTCAACTCCTCTATATATAGAATCCAAACATTTACCTGAAGTACCCAAAATGCCCTGGCCGACTTACACGAAGTGTCCAAAATGCCCCGGAGGATTCTGTGGTCAGCATCCAGATTCCTTCTTACCCCATATGGATTCTGTAGTTTGGAGGTTTTTCTATGATATGCTGAAGTATGTAGAAGTCGTCAGAGGTCTCATAAGCGACTTCGGACATCGTCAAGTCGTCCTAAGGTCACATATACGTATCTGGAGGCTTCGTTACACCCACTTGTCTTCTTGAAGAAAGTCAACTTACCCTTGGTCGACTTAAGAAAATCGTGTTAGAGCCGTTATCGAGTTGACGACAACCCTTAGATAGCTCATGAGCCTGGTCGACTTCAGCGAAGTCGACTTGCTGATGTCGTCATTAATGTTCATTGGGTCGAGTAACTAGCGTTTGGACCAGGCTATGATAATAGGGTTATATCATCTAGTCCCCCCTCCCCGAAAATTACTCTAAGCGATCTCGAGCTTAAGAGTAAATTTGATAATCGAGTTCCCTCTAAGCCCTGTTTTTCGATTCTTCACAATATCTAATCGACATCGATTACGGCCATTTGACCTCATTTATGCCATCATTATTCTCCTGTCCGCTTGTCGTCTTTTTTCCTGACCCTTATTTGTTACCACATCTTTGGTAGACTGTATTGCACGCATCTTGATTGCACACATCTTGATTTCATACTCATAATTTGGACTTACCTAATGACAACTGTTACTATTTTGAATTTCAAATTTCAAAAGTAATGATGTACACCGTCCCGGGTCTTGTCCCTTCGTATTTCGTGCCTTATATGAACTGTTAGATCTTCTTTTGATCTGATGCCTATGGTTTTGCTATCCTCCATATAAATACCTCCCTTCCTCTTTTTTCATCACTTTTCACATTCCTGCATCTCTCAAGCACTCCGGCAATCAAACTCTCCATTCTCCCGGCGCAAGTCTCTTCCGGCAACTTCTTCAGATTACGTGGATTCTCCTTCTCAAGCCATCATGTGTAAGTATCGATTTTCATACCCTCAATCATTTACTCTTCTTTTCTTTTTTATCTTCTAGGTTCTGGGTTTTCGAGGATTCATGTGTTATTCATGTTCTTGAGGATCTTCAAAGGATCTTGGTAAGTTAGTGTTAGATCTTCTTTTCTTGTTTCTTATCAGTCGACTTGCGTTTATGGAGGAATCGCTTTTTAGGAGACGATATCATTCTTTTACTTCTTCGCCCATCGACTTGTGTCGACTCTGTAGCCCTCTTAGTCGCCTTGTGATTCAACCATTTTTCACCTCTAGGATCGAGCGAGTCAAGCAGAGCCTTCTATGGCCGACTCGCAGCTTCTGAATTCGCCTACAAGTCGATATAGTTTCGCTTCTATGACTTTTCTTGTGCTGATCATCACTTCTCGATTTGTTTTCCATAGATTCCGAGTCCGACTCTGTCTCTAGTTCCATGCCCGGCTCTCTCGTCCGTCAAATAGAAAAGTATTCAGGCTCTGGCTCTGTTGAAATAATTGGTTCTAAGCCTGTAGTTGGGCAAGAGGGATCTTAGGGCTCATCTGATTCGATCTTTGGGATCGACCATGATGTATACAATCAAGCCCTTCTGTTGGGCGATTTGATGCAAAATAAGGATGACCCTACTCCACGTGGCGACTCTCCCCGACTAGCCCTCTTTCCTCGAGGTATTCCTCTTGGGCTCTTAGATATTCATGTATATAGAACGAGTCCCATTCCTCTATCAATGTCGACTCCTTTCTATGTGTCTCGAGATGTAACCATAGTCTGTCCTGTAGTTAGATTAGCTGTTCTTAATCCATTTTCTTATTCTTCTGCAGCCCAAATAGAGGGATTTAGGTCGTTCAGTGGTTTGCCTTCTGATTGGGGGTTGGTCGCCCCAGGTCCCAACGATGTCTTTACCCCTCCCTCGAAAGGCTGCTACACGTTTTTCCTCGAACAAATAATGTTTGGCTTGCGATTTCCTATGCAACCCGAACTGCTGTCGATTAGTAACATGTATGATGTACCCATAAATCAATTCTTTCCCAATGCCATTCGCATTATGGTAGCCTTTATCATAATCTGTAGAATAATGTTTGGCCATTTCTTGCCCGAGTGCCTCTTGTATTGTTATAGTTATCTTTTCATAAAGGACGCCCATTGTCTGGGTCGTCGTCCTGGCGTTTCCTTCCTCGAGGATCTTTCCAAAAATGTCACTGAGTGGAAGACCAAATTCTTTTATATCCGTCCTGCTCCCGGCCAGTACCCTTTCTACATCATCTGGCTTACCTCGAAGGTCAAGCAAGACAATCCTCGTCCCAAGTCGAGCCAGTTCCAGGATATGTTGGACGACTTAAGTAAATCCAAATGGAGTGCACGTTTTTGGTTAAGGATCGCGGTCATCTTAATCATGTGGGCCTTTGGATTGACGAGGACGCCCCTCGCATCGATGATCCTCATAAGCTCACGTGTTTGTCTGTTCATGTGCTTATCTTAGTTTATTCATAAGTTACATCGCGCTTGTAATTGTTAGTGGTGCTTCTTAATTTCTTTTTTCCTCGTCTTTCAGTTAAATCTTTGCAGCGCTTTGAGGCCAAGAAAGAGAAGGGTAGTGAGAAACCTACCAAGCAACGCTCTCTCCCAGCAGGGACCGATGACGGCTCCAGTTCTAGGTCGAAAAGGGCGGCAGTCGAGACGGCTGCCGCTAAAAAATCAAAAGTGACCATTCCTTCTGCTACTGTGCAGCCGAAGGCCTTGGGGACGAAGTCCCAGAAAAAGGGCCCAGGATGAGGCCGATTTCGTGTTGGTACCCGACTCTATTAAACGCTAGAAGAGTCGGGACAAAGGAACGTCGGTGGAGACCCCCTGTTCTCCTGGTGGCCTCGAGACGGTCACCTTCGAGCGACCCTCTCGACTTTGGGACCACCCTCATCCCCATGAGATCGCCAAGTACTTTGACTCGGTTATCCCTGTTGCCGACAAAGCCCGTGCCGACCGCTATCTCTATGACCGTGTTGTCTGTGCCCTCCTGTGCTTTTCTCGAGTAATTGCTCTCGACCTTTGCTTTTTTTTACGGCCAGTGGCAAGTCCCCTTTCTCCATTGTTCTTGTTTTTGTTCTTACTTTGCTTTTTCTTGTTTTTCCTTAGTTCATGGCGTATGTGATGCCCACTCTTCTTGAGGAGTTCAGCTTGCCTAACTCCAACGTCCACGCCTACAACAAGAAGTGCAAGGAACAACTTCATGAGGTCGAGAATAAGGATGACGACCTCGCGGTGGCCAATGCCATCATTGTGAAGCTCAAATATGAGAAGGCCGTTGCCCTCTCCCAAGTCAGCCGGCTGCGCGCCGACCTTGCGAAGGCCACCGAGGAGAATGTGGCTGAGAGGGAGATTGGGATAGAGAAAGGGCGTAAGTCCTTCCTCAAGTTATCCATGGGCTCGGTTTTCCTCGAGGCTTATCGCAAGGAGGTTGTCGGAGCATTCTGCAATTCTCCCACCTTCCTCGAGAAGCTGTGCCCGGCTACCCTCCAATACTTCCACTTTATGTTTGATGCATGGGAGTCGGCTGTTAAAGGCACCGCCCTCGAGGGAAAGGTCGACCGACAAGCGCTAAAGGAGTCGCTCCCTCTTCCGCTCTGCTATCGCCGCGATGCATCACTTCCCGATGATTACCCTTGGTGGTCTGGACTTGAGGCTCAGATGATTCGAAAGGCTAAGCTTGGCGCTCAACTTGAGGATCCTCCCACCCCTCTGGCCGGCCCCACCGACTTAGTTGAGCCGAGCGGGGCGGATGACGAGGAAGAAGAGAAAGAGGTCGACGAGGAAATTGAGGTCGAAGAGCCTTCAAGGGTAAGGCATATAGATCAATTTCTAGCTCTTGGCCTTGTGCTAGTATTGGGACTTTCTTGAATTGCATGTCGCCCCTTAGCTCCTCTCCATTAGCAACCTTCACCCCAAATGGCTTGACTTTGGTGAATGGGAGCTCCATCATCTTAGACAGCTCCTCGTCTATGAAATTTAGCGTGGAACCGCTATCAACCAACACATCTACTAGCCCTCCAAGTGTCTCGGATGTGAATCGAATCATCTTCGGCCCTCGCTTCTTACTCTTGACCACATGTAGCAAAACTTCTTCTCGTGGTCCGTACCCCTCGTGGTCATGCTCCTCTTGCTCCTCAAATTCAAGTAAATAGACTTCCTTAATAGCGCACCTATGGCCTGGCGTGAACCTCTCGTTGCAAGTAAAACACAAGCCCTTCCCACGCCTCCTTTGGATCTTCTCGGTAGTAAGCCGTCGCATGTTGCTTTTCGTGCGTGTAATCTCCATGGTTGGCTTAGTCTCGGCCCGTAGGGGCGTGGCATCGACCCCAGTGCTCGCGCGCCTCGTGTTCGTGTGCCCCCCGCCTTTACTGGCCTTGCGCACCGCTGCAATATGGTCCTCATGCAATCGTGCCGATTGTATTGTCG